AGCCGGGTGGTGTTTGAACTTGTAAAAAAGTACTTCCCCTTTAAGAAAAGCGAGCCCCTGATGATGACGTGTTAATAGCGCGCAATGCAGAGAGAAACGGAAAACAGCAGTGCATGAGATTAATCCATCCGTGTGTCGAGTATCATCCTTGATTTAATTGATGCTCTATGTGAGTAAATGTGATGATAATCATTTAATCTAGTGTCATAGGATGTGTTTGTTTCATCTTGTGTATGTGTATTTTGCGGATAGTTCGAGATGATCGAAGATGTTTGATCGCACGTGACTGCATTTTGAAATCTCTATAAAAGAGTTCGGTAAGTCAATTTTCAATGTAAAGTGCATAAGAAATGTGAATAACGTGTATAATATCCTGTGTATGTTATATTTGATTCTTGTGACATGGTGTTTGAAAGCACATGATGAAAATGCTAACAGGGGTTTTGTGTTTGTGTAGGGTGCCACTACCGTGTTTGTGTTTGCTTTGGAAGTGTATTGTTTCACACTGAAAGTGTGCCCTAACATTCGTAAATATTTGACATTGAGAAATTGACACTTTACTAAATTATCTGTTAAGATATTTTTTTGTTAATTATTCATTTTGAGTTTATACTCTATTTGGTTTAAGCATTACAGTGACCCCGTGTGGGGGATTTGAGTAGTGTGGTTGAGTGATAAATTATCACCTGTGACTTGTTGAACTACTCAGTTTAAAGCATTGAAGATCTTAAAGAACATTTAAACAATTGATTGATTTAATAGAGGAAAAATAAAGCAAATTGTAAAACGTGGTTCAGTGTCAATTGATTTGTTTTGTTAACTGGCAACAAAATTTGGTACCAGGAGTGGGGTCCTTTTATAAATCTATATTGCCAGTGTCAGTTAAATGTTAGTGGCACACGGGTGAGCAAACACGGTAGTGGTGAAGAGAAGCCTCTGGCGTGGAAGGAGTTTGCGGTCACTGGACGGAGTGTTCGACGCAGAATAGAGACGGTCGTTGGTTTGGGCCAGGACGTGACAGAGCCGACGGAGTGGTGAAGTGCGTTTCCTATCTGAAGTAGGCACGGATTGTCCCTTTCAGTTGCCACACTCAAGACTTTGACTTGCAACATGTCTGACTATTCGGAGGGGGAAGAGGACGACATTCGTCTGAAGTTAAGAGAACTGAGTCAAAAGCACGATGAAGCAATGGCCACACTTGAGTCTTTAAAAGGGGGGTGTAATAAGACTTATGTGTATGTACCCCGAGAACGTCACATCAGCCCATTCACAGGGGACATTGAAAAAGATGGGAGAACAGTAGATGAGTTTATAGATGAGGTTGAGCGTGCTTTAAGAGCCAGAAACATGACACCAAATGATGAGTGTGATTTTGTTATGTCTTTGCTGCGAGGTGCTGCATTAGAAGAGGTTCGATTGCGAAGCAATGTAGACACCGATATATCCACGGATATACTTACTTACCTTAGAGAGGCTTTTACTGATAGGCGCAGCAGTGCCCAACTCCTCCAGGACTTTTATAGTCGTAAGCAGAAAGAGGGGGAGGATGTTCGTGATTTCTCTCATGCACTAGCTCAAGCTCTCAGTCAAATTACCAAGCGTGCACCAGAGGCTGTGGGAGATGAAAAGACGATGTTAAGAGACCAGTTTGTAGAGGGCATCCGAGACCATACCCTCAGACGGGAACTTCGGCGGTATGTAAGAGACAAGCCTGAGTCTTCTATGGTGGAAGTGAGGGAGGAAGCTTATCTATGGGGCTGGGAGGAGCAGTCTGGGAGGGTTCGGACCCCTAAAAGTCGAAGTGCTACATATGGCTCCTACAGTGAGAGTGCACACTGTGCAGAAGTAAAAGCCACGGGCCAAAACCCAGTCACTTTATCCAAAGTAATGGATGTAGTAACTCAACAGGGCAGGCAGATCCTTGAGCTAACCCAGGCAGTTAATAACTTGATGACACAACAACAGGGGGCTGGGGCCTACGGAATAACACTCGAGCCCAGTTACGATTCACTGAAGATGGTAAGCCCATATGCCTGAAATGTCAAGAAGCCGGGCATATTGCGAGAAATTGTCCCCAGAAATGAAACGCTAAGAGACCTGCATCCCGTTCCATTGAGTCGGGAAATGTGACGCCCGGGTTGCTGTGAGTCGAGCAATCCAGGGCCAACCTGTAGACTCAAGTCAAGAAGAACTGTTGAAGCGGGCAGTGGGGACATGTCCTCAAGTGGATATTAAGGTTCTTGGCGTAGAAGTATCCTGTCTCCTGGACACAGGCAGCCAAGTGAGTACGATATCTGAAAGTTTCTTTCGACAACATTTGGGGGGTGATGATGAAGACATGCTTTCAACTGCTGGATGGCTCAAGCTGACTGCAGCAAACGGGCTGGACATCCCGTACTTAGGATATCTCGAGTTAGAGGTAGAGACGATGGGGAGGAAAATTCCAAAGTGCGGCTTCTTAGTAGTAAAGGATCCTCCGCCCTCCTCAAAAGCTGTTTCCTGTATTGTGGGTATGAACATCATTAGTAAGTGCCGGCAAATAGTGCAGTCTGAATTTGAGGCTCCATTTGAAGGGGGGTTAGAGACTGATTGGAGGAACGCGTTCCAGCACGCACAGACCTGTGATGTTCCTAAGAGTCGTGTGGCCCGGGTAGCAGGGAGACGTATGGTGCATGTCCCAGCGGGCTCCATATCAACAGTAATGGCAAAAGGGTGGTCGGTGAATGTGAAAGATGAGAGCCAGTGGCTGTTAGAGCCAGCACACTTAGCTTTGCCAGGAGGTGTGCTGGTTATGCCGACTGTGGTAAGCTCCTACAATCACGAGAGCTCAGTCCAAGTTCTTAACCTGTCTAATGAAGATGTGTGGTTGCACCCTAGGACTCGCATCGGTGTTCTGTCTAAAGTGAAGGTGGTGGATAATAACCCAGGACACGAGGTAACATTCCAACGTATTTCTGTGAATGCAGAAGAGATCTCTATGGGGCCAAATCACCATCAAGGCAAGAGCAGTGGTCTAAAGTGATCTCCCAGCTGGACATTGGAGGTAATTTGGAGCAGCAAGCAGAGTTGAAAGCTTTACTCACCGAATTTGCCGATGTGTTTGCCATAGGGGACGAGGAGCTAGGATTTACAGACAGAGTACAACATGAGATTAACCTGGTGGATGATGTACCGATTAACCTGCCATATCGCAGAGTTCCACCAAACCAGTACAAAGAGGTCAAGGAACACATAGCGCAGCTATTAAGAAAGGGTGTTATTCAGGAGAGTTCAAGCGCCTATGCGTCTCCAGTGGTGCTGGTGAGAAAAACCGACGGCAGTATTAGGTTGTGCGTGGACTACCGCAAACTAAATCTGAAAACCAAACGGGACGCTTTTCCACTGCCAAGAGTGGATGAGAGTTTTGATGTGTTACGAGGTGCCCAGTTTTTCTCAAGCATCGACCTGGCCAGTGGCTATCACCAGGTAGCTGTGGCAGAGAAGGATCGGCCTAAGACAGCCTTTACCACACCATTTGGGCTGTACGAACATCTGAGAATGCCGATGGGGGTGTGCAATGGGCCTGCCACTTTCCAAAGATTAATGCAAACCACCATGAATGATCTCATCTTTCAGATTATGCTGGTATATTTGGATGACATCTTGGTGTTCTCAAAAACGTTTCCTGAGCATTTGGAGAGGTTGCGGACTGTGTTGTTAAGGCTGCAGGAGACCGGACTCAAAGTCAAAGTAGGGAAATGCCACTTTCTACAGTCAACAGTGACGTTCTTGGGACATCAGATATCTGCTGAGGGTATAGCCACTGACCCTAACAAGATCTCTGCTGTGAAGCAGTGGGCAGTGCCCACCACTCTGAAAGCTCTGAGGTCATTCCTCGGTTTCTGCGGGTATTATAGAAGATTTGTCCCGGGCTTCTCAAAAATCGCTGGGCCGCTACATGACTTGGTCAATCAGTGTCTAAATGAAGGACCTCCAGCTAAAGTTAACCAAAAGGTAATCAATGGGTGGAGTCCTGAGTGTCAGGCATCCTTTGATGCTTTGAAGGAAAAACTAACGAGTGCGCCCGTGCTCGGATTTGCTGATTTCTCTGCCCCATTTATCCTTGAGACTGATGCAAGCAATCAGGGCTTAGGAGCCATTCTTCTGCAGCAGCAAGAGGGAAAGAAAAGAGTGATCTCTTATGCGAGCCGAAGGTTGCGGAATGCTGAAAGGAATGACAAGAATTATAGCAGCATGAAGTTGGAGCTGCTTAGCCTCAAGTGGGCAGTTACTGAAAAATTCAGAGGCTACTTGCTGGGTTCCAAATTTACTGTAATCACAGATAATAACCCATTATGTCACCTACACACTGCCAAATTAGGAGCCCTGGAACAGAGATGGGTGGCACAGTTAGCGGCATTTGATTTTGATGTCCAATACCGACCTGGTCGGTGTAATCAAGCTGCAGATGCATTGTCTAGGCAGCCCTTGGTAGGGGAGCCTGTGGTAGACATGGAAGATGCCGAATATGATGACTGTGTGACTATTTGTAGCCTGACACAACGTGGGACACCTCTTGACGCTGAATTGATTCAAGCTGGAATGGAGAGGTGTGAGGTCCGTCAGATGCGCGCCATGGAAACACGTGGGTTGGCAAGCACAGAGGCACAGGGGAGTACTGCTATTTGGCCTGGGTATTCTAAGGAGCAGTTGGCCACGTTTCAGACTCAGGATCCAGTTCTGAAGGAGTTCAAGATCTTTTGGGACCAGAAACGTAAACCTGCAGGCTTGGAAATAAAAACCCTGTCAAAATCTGTACGCTCGTTGCTGAAGCAGTGGAACCGACTAAGGGAAAAGGAGGGATTGTTGTATCGGGTAGTGGAGGATGTGCGTCACGGAGAGTCTTTCCAACTGTTAGTCCCCGCCTGCTTGAAAACTCAGGTGCTTGAGTCCGTCCATGCTGGTATGGGGCATCAGGGAATTGAAAGGACGCTGCAATTGCTGAAGCCAAGATGTTACTGGGTGGGAATGTATGGGGATGTTGAGCAGTGGATAAAGAATTGTCAGCGCTGTGTTCTCACTAAAATGCCTCAGCCTAGAGTACACCCGCCCATGAAGTCATTCCTTGCTAGCCGGCCTTTAGAAGTCGTGGCCGTGGATTTCACTTTACTGGAGCCAGCCGCTGATGGAAGGGAGAACGTTTTAGTTGTCACTGATGTGTTCACGAAGTTCACACAAGCTTTTGTAACGCGGGATCAGAAAGCTGACACCACAGCTAAAGTTCTTTTGAGGGAGTGGTTCATGAAATTTGGAGTTCCAGAACGGCTACATGCAGATCAGGGGCGCAATTTTGAAAGCGAGGTAATAGCAGAATTGTGCAAGCTGTATGGGGTTAAGAAAAGCCGTACTACTCCCTATCATCCCACTGGAAACGCCCAGTGCGAGCGTTTTAATCGCACTCTACATGAGCTGCTACGAACACTGCCTCCTGAGAGCAAAAGACGGTGGCCTGAACATCTAGCTGAGCTGGTCTATGCGTACAATGTTACCCCGCATTCGACAACAGGGTATTCACCTTTCTATCTGTTGTTCGGCGTCGACCCTCATTTGCCTGTGGATGCACTTTTGGGACGAGAATCAGGAGCTAAGCCTACTCATGACTGGTTAGTGGTGCATCAGAGACGGCTGAAGGAGGCTCATGAACGTGCTAAAGTCTATGCTGAGAAAAAAGCAGCAGAGCGAATTGAGCATTCTCAGGATAAAGTGTATTGTCCATCCATTGTGGTTGGCCAGATCGTATACCTGAGGAATCGACCACTGGGAAGGAATAAAATCCAGGACGCTTGGCATTCGACCCAATACCGGGTGATAGAGATTCAAGGGACCACTTATACGGTTGAGCCTGTGGAAGGAGGGCCCATCAAAAGAGTGAATCGGGTGGATCTCAGACCCTGTGTGCATGTCCCTGCTCCAGTTGCCCGCAAGAGGAATGTTGAGTCTAATGTGGAAGTGGATGAAGCTTCAACATTTGATGTGGACGATGAGAGTTTGGAGGAGGGTGTAGTGCTCGTGGAATGTACTGGCCCAAGTGTGGTTGAACGTCTTGTACGGACTGAAACTGAAGCTGAACACGAAATGGAAGCCTCAGAAGTGTCTCCTTGTGATCCTGAGATTCCGGCTGGAATAGAACTTGGGGGAGGGTTTCAGGAGGAAAGTGTTTCTAGTTTGCCCACACTGCGAAGGAGTACCAGACCTAATGTGGGTCAACATTCAAATCCACACCATGAGCCTAGATCAGCCCTAAATCACAATGTTGTTTCTCAAATGATCGCTAATTTGGGTACCGTATTTTTCAGAGAAGCAGTTAAAGAGCTGAGAAACTCTTACACTGTCACCGAGGCCGTTGACATGTCGGCAGGGGAGAATGTAGCCGGGTGGTGTTTGAACTTGTAAAAAAGTACTTCCCCTTTAAGAAAAGCGAGCCCCTGATGATGACGTGTTAATAGCGCGCAATGCAGAGAGAAACGGAAAACAGCAGTGCATGAGATTAATCCATCCGTGTGTCGAGTATCATCCTTGATTTAATTGATGCTCTATGTGAGTAAATGTGATGATAATCATTTAATCTAGTGTCATAGGATGTGTTTGTTTCATCTTGTGTATGTGTATTTTGCGGATAGTTCGAGATGATCGAAGATGTTTGATCGCACGTGACTGCATTTTGAAATCTCTATAAAAGAGTTCGGTAAGTCAATTTTCAATGTAAAGTGCATAAGAAATGTGAATAACGTGTATAATATCCTGTGTATGTTATATTTGATTCTTGTGACATGGTGTTTGAAAGCACATGATGAAAATGCTAACAGGGGTTTTGTGTTTGTGTAGGGTGCCACTACCGTGTTTGTGTTTGCTTTGGAAGTGTATTGTTTCACACTGAAAGTGTGCCCTAACATTCGTAAATATTTGACATTGAGAAATTGACACTTTACTAAATTATCTGTTAAGATATTTTTTTGTTAATTATTCATTTTGAGTTTATACTCTATTTGGTTTAAGCA